GCTAAGGGTTATAGTCGACGTTTATGAATGAACGTCTCTAATTCAAACTGAACGTGAAACTTTTGTTTCAATTCAGCTCCTTTACAGAATAATTTAAGAGATAGATGGGAATACATGAAAAAAGAATCCATAACATCTATGTCAGCCTTTCGGTATGAATACAATTAACGTTGCTTTTTAGATGATCCCTATAGAAAAGGAGTATTCGAACAATCTCTTTTTTTCTAGTTACTTCGTTCTCTATTTCTATTTGAGAGAATCTTTAGGAAAAGAATAAATTTCCGTCGAGCTAAAAAAATATGTTGATGTTTCTAGTAAACTAAAAAAATCATTTCATAGGCTATTTTGCTTCAATCTCTCCTATACAAAACAAATAATAAAAAAATTGGAAGATTTAGTTACGATTGGAACGAATTTTATATATCTTTCTCCCTGGATCCTTTACTTATATTCAAAAATTGGGATTCTGGATCCAATTGCAAAAACTTATGTTTCATAATTTTAGAATCAATTCTAAATTGTATACAAATTATGATAATGTATATTATTCCTCGAATTGCTCCTTGAGAGGTATAAAGGATTAAATACCTTTAAGTAAGAAATAAAGTTTTTGATCGTGATATGAATCACGGAAGGGACCCCTTAACTATTACTATTAAGGGGTCGATAGAACGAATCGCACTTTTACCACTAAACTATACCCGCTACAATACTATTATTGTATATAAAAAGATCTTTTGTCAATATCAATACAGGAAGGGGAATCAGTCCTAATTATGAAATAGGTGCAGAATTTTATGATAAATACAGTGTTCACATGTTTCGTAAAGGGCCCCCTAATGAAATTTAGAAAAGGGGGCGAATCTCATTTTTGGATTTTGTTGAAGGTATTTTGACAGATAGATCTCGACAAAATTACTAAACGAAATTCATAAGACAAAAATGCATTGTGCAAGAATCCATAGTTCTATTTCTTTTTTTAGATACGTTAACTGATTAATTCGTATGATATACGATCAAAAAGTTATTTTTATTTTTGTTTGATCGTATTAAAATGTTTTCCTTAATTACAAGTTTCTTTCAAATCTGATACAGAAAAATAAATCATTGTGATTCATGGGAAAAAAGAGCCGTGCCAGTACCTAGCTGGACTCTGGTTGGATAAAAAAACAAACTAAAAAAAAAAGAAAAGAAAAAATTTTATATTGCGTATATATAGAATATAACTTTAGTATAGGTATAAGAAAATATAACTAATATTTATGAGTTAATATAGAATTATGAATAGTAATTAAATAAAATGATAATCAAATAGAAAAAAGATAGATAGATAAGATATATCAAATGACGATCAATATCAAATAAGATATATAGAAGGCTTTTTTGAGCCCTACTTTTTGTTCTTTTTGTTTATCCGAGGTATCATAAGCATAATAATTCAATTTTTTGAATTGGGGAGAGATGGCTGAGTGGACTAAAGCGTCGGATTGCTAATCCGTTGTACGAATTTTTGTACCGAGGGTTCGAATCCCTCTCTTTCCGTTTATTGATGATTTGGCATTTTTTTCTTTTGAACTTCTGGAATTTCTTTTTTTTTTTATTCCCTGTTTGTTTCATTTTTTACTAGTTAAAGATGTAAAATAGATAGAAAAACGAAAAATATTTAAAAATCCAGCATAAGTACGGAAAAGAACAAAGATTTTCTTATTCTTCACGTCCAGGATTACGTCCTGGATCATTAGATAGGAATCCGAAGATGAAAAGAGAAACAAAGAATATCACTATTGTGTAAACAAATAGTTTTAGAGTAAGCATTACAAAATCTCCAAGATAATAAAAAAAAAAAAACGACAGAGAAAGAGAATAGATTCTCTTGTATTTCATATTATGTTTCCTTTGATACTCAGTTTATAAGAAATGAAGTTATTTCAAAAAAACTAAAAAAATTGATTTGTAGTAAGAGTTGAGCCTTTGTTTTACCATTACCAACAATTCAATTTTCTTTCATATCCACAAGATCCACGTATTGGTGGTAGACTCAAATCGAATAATAGAATAATATAATTTTTATTTTTGAATGGAAAAAAAGGAAATGATGAGATGATCCATATTTTTATTGTCTATCCAACAATTTCAAGATTTATAATCACGGATTCACACTGTAAGACTTATCTTATTTTTAAAAATGTTAAAATTTGAGTTTTCTAATAAATTCTGACTTTTTTTTCGGACATTATTCAAATTAAAGATCTTATCGAAAACTTACAGCAGCTTGCCAAACAAAAGCTAAGAGAAAAAAGAGTAAGGGTATTACTGGCATAAAATCTACAATTGGATTCAAAAAAGCGTAAGCTTCTGGTAATTTCCCCAAGAAAAAACTACTTGAATAAAGGCAGAGTGAATACAAATACAGACCGAGCTAAAGATATTAAGCATAACAAAAATGTTTTTCTTTAAAGAAAATGAATTGTCTTTTTTCTTTTGTTTTTATTCTAATTTTGATGTATTTTTTTATTATTATATAGATGATTTATTCTATATATGATATGATTTATTCTATATATGATATGATTTATTATATAATTTATTATTATTATTATCCATTTTTGTATTATACTTTTATATTAACAATGAAATATAAAATCAAAATTTTTTGATTTTATTTAGATAGAATAGAGAATATATAGAATAGAAAATGAATAATTTGAAAATCTAAAAAGGATAGAATATAAAATATTGAATTTCCTATTTATAGATATGAAGATTACTAAATCAGTAATAAAACGAAAAAAAAAGATGAATCAACTAAGATCAGACCCCCACTTTTTTTGATTTGAACTGAATAAGTTCAAACAATATCTTAATTGAATTCTATGGAATGATCAATAAAATTTCGTTTAATTCGATATCGATACATATCAAAATTCTAGCAACAATTTATTCTATAGAATAAATTTCGAAGTGTAATTTACGAACAACTCATAATACTATTTATGTCGAATCAAAATGGGGCGTGGCCAAGCGGTAAGGCAGCGGGTTTGATCCCGTTATTCGGAGGTTCGAATCCTTCCGTCCCAGATCATATCTATTCAAGATATATACCTATTTCAATACAAATTGTATATCCGAATAAAGATTCCTTTTTTTTTTTTAGAAATTGATTTTTTTATATTTTAATTTACAAACCATGAAAATAGAATATTGACTTAATTTCGACTTCTTGACTTTAGAAATAAAATTGTATAGTCAGAAAAACCTAAAACCTAGAAGTGAAAAGTATATATTATTATCTATTGATTGAGTCAATGACTATGCACCGATTTCAAAATAGGAATCAATTACATACCAGATTGAAACTAAAAAAATTAATGATATGGTAAAACCTCGTTTGAAACGATGTAGTAAAAAGCAGCGTGGGACTTGAAAAAACGTGACTACTATTAGCTGCGGAGTCTACATGCCCTATTTTCTTTATACTATCTAGTTTCTAGTATCTAGAAATAGGGATCCTCGATTTTTCGATTTGAGTGATCTATTTATTCCAAATTCGGTGCTCAACCTACCTCATTATTAGGAAAAAAGTCAAGAAATAAACTAATTTGGTGCATCAATACCGTAGACCAAATGAGCCTTTTTACTTCTTTGTTTTTATTCTATTCATTCATTTTTATATTAGAAATAGTTATTGATTTGATATTCAAATATAAATGATACATTTGTTCAATACTTCTTCGCTCATTAATTATTATAAGTTATTAATCCTCGCATTCTATTTCTATACTTAAGTCGATAAAAAATGATCATCGAATGACTATTCATCTATTGTATTTTAAAGTGGTTCAATCCAATGTTGCTGTTTAATAGGGATTTAGAATATAGGTGTGGTTTAAGTAAATCCCTAGATAGTTTTGATCCTATTGAAGATAGTTTTTATCCTATTGAAAATAACGGTGTAAATGAAGACCCATCTATTTTAACTGATGACCCATATATTTTAACTGATGACCATCTATTTTAAACTGATGACTCATCTATTTTAACTGATGGACCCATCTATTTTAACTGATATGGATAATGACATTCATAGTTGGATTGAGAGTTATCTTCGTTATTTAGATGATAGTGACAACTACAATGCCAATATCAGTGACTTGAATAGTTACATTTTAGATGATACAAATGATAGTGATTTGTATGAAATAGAAAATTCTAATGATACAAATGATAGTGATTTTACTCCAATAGAATATTCTAATGATACAAATAATAGTAAATTTACTCCAATACAATATCCTGATGATCCAAAAGATACTTCTTATACTGAAAAATTTAAGCATTTATGGGTTGAATGCGAAAGTTGCTTTGGATTAAATTATAAGAAATTTTTTAAATCCAAAATGAATATTTGCGAACACTGTGGAGATCATTTGAAAATGAGCAGTTCAGATAGAATCGAACTTTCGATTGATCCAGGTACTTGGAATCCTATGGATGAAGACATGTTTTCTCTGGATCCCATTGAATGGGACAAACCTTATACGGAAGACGAACCTTCTACGGAAGACGAATACGACTCTTCTACTGAAGACGAATACGAATCTTCTACGGAAGACAAACCTTCTAACGAACCTTCTACGGAAGACAAACCTTCTAACGAACCTTCGACGGAAGACAAACCTTCTAACGAACCTTCGACGGAAGACAAACCTTCTAACGAACCTTCGACGGAAGACAAACCTTATACGGAAGACGAATCTTCTCCGGAAGACGAATCTTCTCCGGAAGACGAATCTTCTCCGGAAGACGAATCTTCTCCGGAAGACGAACCTTCTACGGAAGACGAATACGACTCTTCTACGGAAGACGAACCTTATATAGATCGTCTTGATTTTTATCAAGAAAGTACAGGATTACTGGAGGCGGTTCAAACAGGCACAGGTCAACTAAATGGTATTCCTGTAGCAATAGGTATTATGGATTTTCAGTTTCTGGGGGGTAGTATGGGATCCGTAGTGGGTGAGAAAATAACTCGGTTGATCGAATATGCTACCAATCAACTTTTACCTCTTATTATAGTATGTGCGTCCGGAGGAGCGCGTATGCAAGAAGGAAGTTTGAGCTTAATGCAAATGGCTAAAATATCTTCTGCTTTATATAATTATCAAATCAATCAAAAGTTACTCTATGTAGCGATACTTACATCGCCTACTACTGGTGGGGTAACAGCTAGTTTTGGGATGTTGGGGGATATCATTATTGCCGAACCAAAAGCTTACCTTGCATTTGCGGGTAAAAGAGTAATTGAACAAACGTTGAATAAGGAAGTGCCTGAAGGTTCCCAATCGGCTGAAGTTTTTTTCGAAAAAGGCTTATTGGATGCAATCGTATCACGTGATTCTTTAAAGGACTTTTTAAGTGAGTTATTTGAATTCCATGGTTGCTTTCCTTGGATTGAAAATGAAAACTAATGCAGACTATCATTTTATTTATGTTTTTCAATTTTTAACTTTTCATTAATATCATAAAATGAATATCATAAAGAAATCTTCTTATTATATAAAAATGATATAAAAAGAAAATGAGAACACACAAGAGTAAAGTAATAAGATAAGAATAAAAAATAAAGATTAATTATCATGGACATATTTCTTGTAGAAATAGACAGCAAAATAAATCCAGTTATTTCGTTCGACATTCCTTATATTTAATTTAATATTCAAATTATTAAAATTAACGATTTTGATTCTTAATAAATCTTATTCCATTTTTTTCTTATGGGTTTATTCTCTTTATATACTCCATATAGAATATATATATATATTCATATCTATTTATTTAGCTCTACATAGTAGAATTAAAAAAATAGACTTAGTATAAGTCTATATGAATTCTAGTGATTATAGACTTTCTTTATTCCAATATAAGAAGAATCCAAATATTAATCTAACAATCAACAAAAAAGAACAGGTACAAATATGAAATTGAGGTACCCCCATTTTATGATAAACTTACCATCCCTTTTTGTTCCTTTAGTAGGCCTAGTATTTCCGGCAGTTGCAATGGTTTCTTTATTTCTTCATGTTCAAAAAAACAATATTTTTTAGATACCACAAGTTTCATATATTTTTGGAAAATAGGGTTAAATTTTTTAGTTTGGATTTGTTCTTTTGTTCCATTTTTGAATAACTATTGCCTTCAATAAAAAAAAAAGAAAAGTACTAATATTATATAAGCCTTAATAAGATAAGGAGGTTTTCATATAACAACATAAATATTAATCTAACAATCAAGAAAAAAGAACAGGTACAAATATGAAATTGAGGCACCCATTTTATGATAAACGTTTATGTGTTTTTAGTGGGCCTTGTATTAATTGTAATGTCTGCTTTATTGGTTCATGTTCCAAAATTCATTAGTTGGGGGTCAGAAAAACTTGGTTGTCGTTCACAAGACGCATGGCTTGACATTGTACCGGGGTCCCGAAAAATTATCAATTTATTCTGGGCGTCTTTCACTCTTTTAGGTTCATTAGGAGTTTTATATATTTCAGTTTCCAGTTATTATGGGAGGGATTTTTTCTCTTTCATTTCGTCCGAATTTGTCATTCCTTTTTTGACACAAGGAGTCACGCTGACTTTCTATGGAATTGCCGGTCTCTTTCTAAGTTTACATTGGTGGCTTCTAATTTTTTGGAATGTGGGGAGTGGCTATAATTTTTTCGATAAAAAAAATCGAATGGTATGTTTTTTTCGTTACGGATTTCCTGGAACATATCGTCGTATTTTTCTCCGAGTTCGTATGGAAGATATTCAGTCCCTCATACTACAAGCTAACCCAGAACCTAGTAGTGGTGTCCTTTATATGCAAACCAGAGAACAGGGGACCATTCCCTTGACTCCTGTTGATGATAGGACTCCATGCAACGTTATACAAAAAGCTTGGGACTTGTCCAGATTCTTGAGTGTACCAATGGAAATCGTTCCATATTCTTGAGTATACCAATGGAAATCGCTGTATCCAAACAATTTCATTTTTAATTCATAGCTTTTGAAACACTTTTTTTCTTCTTCATTCAAATTGGCAATGGCTTATTTCGTTTTCTTATTTGATTTCTGTATTCTTTTGGATTCTTTTTTCAAATTGAAGGAAAAAGAAACTAACCTCCGAATTACAAATAAAAAGAATAGCTTCTCAATTTCTATGAAAAAATTATAAATTGATATATTCTAGGCTAAGCTCTATTACTTGTATTTACTTGTAATAGAACTTATGCTTGATAGAAAGATTATTATTATATATAGTTGAAAAATGAGATGAAACTGAGTTCATTAAAGACGAAAAATGGCAAAAAAGAAAGCATGCATTCCCCTTCTATGTCTTACATCTATAGTCTTTTTGCCCTGGTGCATCTCTTTTACATTTCAGAAAAGTCTGGAATCTTGGATTACTAATTGGTGGAATATGAAAGAATCCGAAATTGTCTTGAATACTATTCAAGAAAAAAGTATTTTAAAGAAATTGCTAGAGTTCGAGGAACTGTTCCTCTTGGATGAAATGCTAAAGGAATACCCGGAAACACGTTTACAAAACCTTCGTATCGAAATCTACAAAGAGACCATCCAATTGATCGAGACGAACAACCTAGATCGTATCCATACGATTTTCCATTTCTGTACAAATATAATCTGTTTCCTTATTCTAAGTGGTTATTCTATTCGAGGTAATCAAGAACTCATTATTCTTAACTCTTGGGTTCAAGAATTTCTATATAACTTAAGTGACACAATAAAAGCTTTTTCTATTCTTTTATTAACTGATTTTTGTATAGGATTCCATTCGACTCAGGGTTGGGAACTAATGATTGGGTCTGTCTATAAAGATTTTGGATTTACTCCGAATGATCAGATTCTATCTTGTCTTGTTTCGATTTTTCCAGTCATTTTAGATACTATTTTTAAATATTCTATTTTCCGTTATTTAAATCGTGTATCTCCGTCGCTTGTAGTCATTTATCATTCAATGAAGGAATGAAAAAACGACCCACTGATCCAATTCTAAAATTTGTTTTTTGTATAGAAAAGCTAAACATTTAAAATTGAACTTATTCGTTTTCGTTTTACTCGTATTCTTCCTATATTATAGGAAAAGAATTGGAGTAAATAGCAGAATCATGGATAGGGAACTGTGCCAGTAACCTACCTAATCTTATTGTAGAAATTTTCAGGATCAATGATTGGACCATGCAAACTAGAAATGCTTTTTCTTGGATAAAGAAAGAGATTACCCGATCCATTTCCGTATTGCTCATGATATATATAATAACTCGAGCACCCATTTCAAATGCATATCCTATTTTTGCCCAACATGGTTATGAAAATCCTCGAGAAGCTACCGGCCGGATTGTATGTGCTAATTGCCATTTAGCTAATAAGCCCGTAGATATTGAGGTTCCACAAGCGATACTTCCCGATACAGTATTTGAAGCAGTTGTTCGAATTCCTTATGATATGCAAGTGAAACAAGTTCTTGCTAATGGTAAAAAGGGGGCTTTGAATGTGGGAGCTGTTCTTATTTTACCAGAGGGTTTTGAATTGGCCCCTCCTGATCGTCTTTCGCCCGAGATTAAAGAAAAGATAGGTAATTTGTCTTTTCAAAGCTATCGTCCCACAAAAAAAAATATTCTTGTGATAGGCCCCGTTCCTGGAAAAAAATATAGTGAAATTACCTTTCCTATTCTTTCTCCAGATCCCGCTACTAAGAGAGATGTTTACTTCTTAAAATATCCTATATACGTAGGCGGGAACAGGGGAAGGGGTCAGATTTATCCCGACGGAAGCAAGAGTAATAATAATGTTTATAATGCTACAGCAACGGGTGTAGTAAACAAAATAATACGAAAAGAAAAAGGTGGATACGAAATAACGATAGTAGATGCATCAGATGGACGTGAAGTGATTGATATTATACCGCCAGGACCAGAACTTCTTGTTTCAGAGGGTGAATCTATCAAACTTGATCAACCATTAACGAGTAATCCTAATGTGGGTGGATTTGGTCAGGGGGATGCAGAAATAGTGCTTCAAGATCCGTTACGTGTCCAAGGTCTCTTGCTCTTCTTGGCATCTATTATTTTGGCACAAATTTTTTTGGTTCTTAAAAAGAAACAATTTGAGAAGGTGCAATTGTCTGAAATGAATTTTTAGGAATGTCAATTTATCAACATATTAAGCTGGTAAAAAGAACTCCATTTTTGTTGATAAATTCTGTGTAAAGACCTTTGGTTCTTGGTTTTTTTTCAACTGCACAATTAATTCGAACCATATGATTATGTCGCTGATTATGTCGCTGTTTTCACATTTTCATGTCCTAGAATAGAAATATTAGAATTTATATTGTAATAGAATGAAATTCGACTCGATACTAAACCTAAAAAAATAGGTAGGTAGATAATATTAAGTAAAGTAGAAAAAGGGAAAACAGGATTCTAGGATGGATAATTTGTCTTTTCCTAGAGTCCAATTCCTTCTTGTTTATGTCGAAATCGATACGTAGTTAAGGAATGGACAAACAAAAAAGACCGGGAATTGAATTCAGCAAATACAACTTTCTTAATTCACTTCAAAAAAAGAATTTAATCATGAGTCTATATTAGAAATAGATTTCTAGTAAGATTCTGTTAGTATCAAAAAGGTTTGGTTCTACAGAATCTTTTTTATGTTTAATAGAGTATTAAATATAGTATATAGTTCCCTATTCTTACAGGGAAGATCCTAAAAAAAGGAAATGGAATTTTTTGAAACATACAATAAAGTTATCTATTGACTCACTGACAAAAATATTCTGATTATGAAGAACTCAACGGGACCCCTTCGAATTCATCAAAGAAAGAGTGGATCCCCGTTGAGTTCTTATGCTTTCATTTCGAAAACTAAATTTATCCGATTATTACAGGGATGATCCCAATCCGGAATATGAACCATAAAAGAAAATACCAATTAAACCGATCACAACAATACCAGCTACAGTACCTATTATCCAAAGAGGAATTCTTCCAGTAGTATCGGCCATTTATCCCACTTTCCTCCACATTTGATCAAGTAGTCAGTCATACTAGAGACCTAAACAGTCATAGATAATTATGAAATGATATCCTTCCGAATGGGATAAGAGAATTCCTAATATATAAATACTATTCTCTTTTCTTCAATTAATTGAAAAAATAATTTGAAAATAAAACAGCAAGTACAAAAATGAGTAATAAACCCCAGTATAGACTGGTACGATTCAATTCAACATTTTGTTCATTTGGGTTTGATTGTGTCGTAGCTCTATAATTCGGATTAGGTTTATCGTTGGATGAACTGCATTGCTGATATTGATCCCAAAAAAGAAACGGTAGGTACCGCTAGTCCGTGAACAGCCAACCATCGTACTGTAAAAATGGGATAGGTCCTATCTATGGTCATTG